TTTCGCCTATTATTGCCGACAATGTCCTGCAAATGCCGTCCAAATGCTCATCTGCAACAAACGCTGGCGGCCGCTGCACACTGATACATAAAATTTAATATATAGTATTAGCGGTATACCCGGCGTTGCCCGGGGAAATCAGTGGCGTTACTCAGTTGGTGACCGCTTGGTTGAAAGGAAAATACCCAAAAAAATCGAACTATCTATCTATCCATGCATCCATCCATCCATGCCATCCCATATCCCATCCCATCGCATATCCCATCCAATCTCATCACATCTCATGCCATGCCATGCCATCGCACCGCATCCCATCGCATCCCATGCCATCCATGCCATCCAATCCCATTCCATCGCATGCCATCCCATCCCAAACAGTAAAATATAATAAGAAATCAAAAGATAAAAGATAGATTATTAAATATAAAAAATAAAAAGCAAAAAGTAAAAAATTTAAAATAATACATACTAAAGAGGTAGGTAAAGGAAAAGAAGGGAAAAATGGGAAAATAAGTTCCCCAGCTGGAACTCGAACCCGGAAATCCGGTGTAGGAGTTGGATGTTCTAGCGATTAGGCCACTGCACCGTTAAGGGTATACCCATGGATTTACACGTACGTGATGTTAATCTGTACGCACCGCCATCTATATTGATCAATAGCATTTTTAACTTTTAAAATTTTTGCTTCAGCTAGAACCACCTCCCAGACGTGCTGCTTCTGAAAATATCTTTAGTTTTCCTCTAGGCTGCGGAGTTTTCTAGTTATGCGAGTACGAACTAATTCGGCTGAACAACTTTATATATATAAGATAATAATTATACACTATATATTTATGTGTCAGTGTGCAGCAGCTAGCGTGCGGCGGCCAGCGTGTATTGCAGATGAGCATTTGGACATTTTCAGGAAATTGTTGGCAATAATAGGTGAAAGAGAGTATAGAAACATTAAGACTTTGGTAGTAAATAGATTTCGTATTTATTTAGCATTATATTTTATTAAAACGCTCCAAGTGCCTGTGCGTAAACACACCTCTCTAAAAGAAATTACAGATCTGACACGTTTGACACCGCAATATAGTAAAACAAGTGCCCCACACAAACAAGTAAAACATTACCAACGATTATCAGTCATCGCTAAAATCATTGCGCTGTTTGTGTTTGTGTTTGTGTTTGTGTGTGCGTGCGTGCGTGCGTGTATGTATGTGTGTGTGTGTGTGTGTGTGTGTGT